GAGTTTGAGCCCCGTGTCGGGCTCCGTGCTGACAGCTCGGAGCCTGGAGCCTGCTTCGGATTCTGTCTCCCTCTCTCTGCCCTTTCCCCACTCATGCTCTGTCTCTCTCTGTCTCTCAAAACTGAATAAACATTAAAAAAAACCCAACCCAGCCTCAACTCCTTCCTCCTGAGAGTGCTGGCCTAGAAATAGTTGTGCGCGTACTTGTAACATGTAAGAGGCGAACCAAAGCTGTTGACGTTAAGGTGCAGATGCCCACATCCTTGTGGGTGGCGGTGGCCCCTGCGAAAGCTCCCGAGCCTCCCACAGTCTGTGACCCTCGCGTGGAAGCTGCGGAATTAAGGTAGACGCCACTGGCTGTACGATGCGTGGCAGAGCTCGGCTGGGGAGAGGCGGAGTCTTCGATTCCAGAAAGAAAGCTGTTTCTGGAAAATGCCATCCTTCGATGCAGCGTTATTTTGGAGGACATCAAAGTCCGGAGGCAAAGCCAAGGCTTTCGTTTTGCCGCACTGCGTGCATGTGAGAGCATGACCAGGTGGATGGACGCCCCCCACCTGCTTTGTAAACACGGAGGCCGAGTCTGCAAATCATTGGAGGCCTTTTAGCAACTTTAAGGCTCATCCTCAAGTCCAGTTTATTTGACTCTCTACCGTTGGTAGATTTCTGGTTGGAGACCATGAAAGGTAGCTAACATTAATTTCTCAGCTATTTCACTGGTCCGCTTTCCCATGGTGTCTGCTTTCCTCGCATGCAGACGCGGTTACACTGAAGGTCGCCTGCACAGTGACTCGCGAAGAGCTCCATCTTCCAGAGCTGGGACGCTTGCCCAGCGGGTCTCCAGGGAAGGAGCTGCCCCAAGGAACCACAGCACCCCTCTCTGCACCCTCCTGCTCGGCTGCCACCTTGGCCGCAGGCTTTGGATACGTTCTTCCGGGCTTTGTCCCAGTGGAATGAGCTCTCCAATCACCAAGCCTCGGGGCGTGTGCTGGGCCTTTCCGGTTCTTCACCAGGAAGCTGGTCTGAGAGAGTTTTGCCCACCTGGAGAGAAAGGGGAGGTAAGAGGTGCAGAGAGGAGGTCTGATGGCATTGGAGTCTCGCCCCTCCTGAGCTTTGATCCTGTGAGCTAAAAGGGCAGATTCCTTCTTGCTCAGGCTAGCCTGATTTGGATTCCTAACACTAATACTTCTCAAACTTGAGCTTGAAAACCTCATTTCCCCTCAAACAAGTAAAGGGTTTTACACAAGCATGCTGATTCTTTTGAATAATAAAAAAATTTATTTTGTAAATCAAATAAGCACTTCCCAGGTTGTCATCTATACAAACCCAATCTTGGGGGTATTAGATTTTCTTGTAATACACCATTACCCTATACAATTGGAGGGAGTAACAGTTAAAATACAGTGCAGACACAGGTTGCTCTAGTTCTTCTCCATTCATTGAAAAATCTGAATGAGAAGTAGGCACACAGAAACAATCACATATTTTACTTTAGACAATAAAGATATTATACCCACTCTACAATAAAATGGAATTGAGTGTTTGCTTAAGTGACGAAAAGGTTAACAAATGATTTGGGTTACAATCAGAGGAACGGGAGTGTAAATCTTCAGCAGGACAGGTATTTTCAAAATAGAAGCGCAACGAAAGGCTCCACGTTCCCAAACACAGAGAATACAGAAGGAATAGCTTCCGCTTAAGACGTTCTTGCTCTAGCGTCAGAAAAGCTGCAAATCTGATACACGTATGTTAAGGCCGAAGTTTCCTAGACGGGGGTTCTAGATTTGTTCGCAAAGGGCGGCGACAGGTTCGACGGAGCATGGTGGGGCGGAAGAGAAATGCTGGGCCGGTGCTGACATGGTTAATGCACAGGCAGAGGCGGGGACGGGGAGGAGGCCGAGAGACACAGAAGCGAGGCTCCTGTCACTAAGGGCAGCTACAAAGGGAAGGGCACGAGCTGAGCCGGGGCCAACCCAGGCAAGGACATGCTCGCTGTGGCTCAGGGTGTTTATTTTTAGAGTGTTCCCGAGACAAATTCCAGCGATATGTCTGGTTTGAGTCAAGCCTTTCTTCTCGAACTTGACTTCTCAACTGAGGTCCTTGGCGTACTTGAGGGAAAAAATGAATACATTCGGATTTGGTTCTGTTAGAGACGAAGCTGGAAAACCGGCCGAAGGGGTAAGAACGGCCCCGAGACCAAACTGCTGTTTCCTGGAAAGAACCGTAGAGACAGGCAGGTTTTGCTTACTAATGGAGCAGGAAAGGAGTCGATTTGGAGTTTAGGTTCTTTTAAAAAAAAAAAAAACAAAAAACAAAAAACAGGGCAGGCGGGAGGAGGCAGGAATGCAGAGGCAGCCTCGAAGGAGACGGAACCTGTCCGTTCGATGCCCTGCCTTGGGCATGCATAGCTCAGGCACCTGTACCCACAGGGGTGTGTTGGCAGCTCTCAGCTCTGGTTAACTCCCCAGGGCCCGGACACGGGCTCCCTGCGAGTTGGGCCGGGCATCCTCCCCCTTCCTGAGATTAGAAATTAGGCGAAGGCCTAAATCCCCAAGTGATCTGAATCCCTCTGAGCCAGGCTAGTTCAGGGAACGGTCACGCTGCTCTCAGAAGCCTGGGCCAGCCAGCAGAGGGGAGGGCATGCTCGTATTTCTGGCCCATATGCTTTTCCCATAGAAGACCTCTGACCAAACAAAGAGAACACGGTCCCGAACCCTTGTAACCTCCACGGACGCACGCAACCTGAGCCACCCAAAGGCGAGTTGGTTGTTCCCAAGGTTGCGGGGATGGGGAGGCTGTCCTGTGCTGCAAACGACGGCAGAGCAAAATCCAAGGCCCCGGATCCAGGGCCTGACGCAGCCCACTACTGCAAACAGTGGGGATGGCACTTGGAGTACTTTCTGGCAGATGAAAGAGTGTCACCCCACTGAATGCCACTTAAAAACATATGTTACCGGGAAGTAAGGTCACCTCACTTGTTTTTAACCTACACGAGTTACTGTTTGCTCTGAAACGTAACTGCCTACAGTGCTTGTGCCTCTTGGGGATTCTTTTAATTTTGGAGGAGTGTCTGCGCTCCAGGCCCTCTCTCCAAGTTCTTATTAACGAAAGTTGTATCTACATTAAGTAGTGGCAAACGTGGTCTTAATGGGATGTCATTTACTTAAATCTTTAATAATTAAGGCAATTGCTAAATGTGCAGTATTTTCTGGGGCTCCGTCCCTGAAAGGGGAAGAACGTACTGCCACGGTAGTTTATGGAGCAGTTGAGAGAATTCTGGATCAAGTTGAAAACGATTACATTACATTCACTTTGAAACTGATACCACCAATGCCAAAGTACTTGATTTCCATGCTTATTTGGAGTTCAGAATCTCTGTGCTAAACCTACGTTTTGAAAAAAGACAACGATTTACATTTCCGGAAGTTTCGAAATGACATCCAAAGGACAAAGGTAATTTGTCTGCCAACAGTGGCGGTGGGTGATTTATTCCACCTGTTTGAGCGACACTTGTCTTCTCCACCGTACCAGGTCGTGTGCACACGCGTGTGGAGAGAGATGGAAAACATGGTCTCCGTGTCCTCCTTTTAAAAATGCTTCTCCTCTCCCACATCAGTCATTCAAATAACATGAGAACGTGCTTCTCTAAAAGGACCCTGTCGGTAGGCATTTCTTTGTTTTAAAAACCAGAGGTAAGGTAGGTATAAGAAAGTCTTGAACAACCAAAGGGATAGACCCAGGTTTGGACGATGAGCCAGCATGACGGTTCTCTAACTTCCAGGCATATTCATTAAAGAAAGACTTGTGTAAAAAGTGCATCCGCTATCTAAAGGTCTAGATACTGCTGCAGAAGGAAAACTGAGTGGTTCTCTTGCATGCAAAGCAGATGAAGACCAGAAGGAAGGAGACCGTGTTGCACAAACTAGACTTCCATGCCGAGAATTAGCGCGTTTTCTAGGTAGGCAATGCCACAAATGGGAGTTACCTTACGGTTCTCACATCATGGAGACTTGAGTGGGAGGGTGGGAGAGAAACCTAGCACTCTGGGAGGTAAAAGAGAGTCCCCAGTACCATTACAAAACTTCGTTAGGCAACAAGATTTTCTAGCTGGGAGGCACGTAAAAAAGAACCATGACAATCACAAAGACAATGGAAATGAAGAGGAAAAAAAGTCTGCTTTGGACGGACAGGAGAGGGGAATCATTAACACCCCAAACAACTGGGCCTGAAACACAGTTACCCTAATGTGGGGACTGGCTGACGGGAAGGACCGGGTCCTCAGGTAAAGAGGATTTGGTGCTCTTGGTTCAGTTTCGGTGATTCTTCAGCACTTAGTGAAGACGCGGAGACCCCCACGTCCTCTGACAAAAGATTTAAAATTGTGGAGAATTATGCAAATATTTACTGTTGATATGTCCCACAGGTTAGACCAAGTTCACTGGTTCAGCTGAGCGGGGTCTCCCACGCTTTGTCCACCACCGCTCAGCGTTACAAAGCCAACTAGACAGAAAAGACGAAAGGAACAATTATGAAATTCTTGACTCCTTTCCTTGGTCATATGTCCATACTCTGCATAAAATAAATAATACATGTTAAATTGAAACCAGGGTTAAAATCTGGAAATGGGGGAGGGGGCGGGGAAGGACAGCAGTCTGGTTTTCTTAAGGCAGAACGATAAGGATTTCTTTAAACAGACACTTTATTACATCCACAGGCGATAAAATCCCAGAGCTACTGTTAGGCACGTAAATACAGACCCTGTAAGAAAAAAAAAAAAAAAAAAATCGAACATAGTATTAGTTAACAGTTACTTAAGGAACAACTTTTCATTAAGAAAACACAGCTGTTTATCCACCTACCCACCAAGCAAAACAATGAACAAACGCAAGAAACTCAGATCGTCTGCTAATGTGCCACATTCCACGAGACACCTGCCCACGACAACACTCCACTACTTGGGGCACCTGCCCACGACAACACTCCACTACTTGGGGCACACCGAGCCTTTGGCTCGGGTCAGGAGCTCATGGTTCGCGAGTTTGAGCTCCATATTGGGATCACTCCTGTCAGTGTGGACCCTGCTTTGGCTCCTCTGTGCCCCCCGCCCCTTTCTCTGCCTCCCCCCTCCTTGCACGCTCTCAAAAATAAATATAAAAACGTTAAACAAAAAACAAAAAAAAACCCCTCCACTCCTTCGAATCATCATCGTCAAAGTACAAAGTATCCCATATTCAATAAAACTTTTTAATGAAAGCTGAGAATCACAGAAATTCTGTGGTCACAAAATACATGTATATTGCAGGGACACACCCTTTAAACCTTCACGAACAGAATTCCACTTCTAAATGCTTTAGAAACTTGAAATACTGATTAATCCAAAACGTTAAATAGGAGTTGCAACGGATGGCTAATTATATTCACACGTGAGTCTTCATTTCCTCTTCGGGCTCAAAAATTACAAAACCAAAATAGCTCCTCACAGGGAGTGGGGCCAACTGAAGCAGAGAGATCACAATTCAAAAGCCTTTTACTCCATCCATAAAATGTTCTATCTTGAATTTCACTAAAAAAGTTTTCAAGTAAGTAACGACTGTTCAATGAGAGTAACTTACAAAATTTAAGATTCTGACCATCGTAAAGCACGTCGCTATGCTACTAAGGGGAAAAAAGGCAAATTACGGTATGATGATCCATCTATTAGAAATTGTAAGGTGCCTTCTAATTTCAGAGACGTTAAAATGTGAAAAAAATGTGTTAGAATCAACAAAGTGCACATCTTTGACTTACTTTCTAAATTCTATGTATTTTCAGCTGTTCTGAACGACTTCGACACAAAATAGCTTACCTGCTAAATATTTAATGTTATCAAGCTTGTGCGACTCCAGCATGGTTTTGAGGCCAGCGACCTCAGTGTCTATCTTCCTGTCGGTCTGGGTGACAGCCCGATCTTGCTGGGCATGCTTTTAAAACAGAGAGTCACAGCATTAGACCAGCTGGGATACCTCTGTCCCCATGGCTCCCTCCTAGGGACCCTCCCCAGCAGGGTGCAGTCGGAGAGAAAGCTGGGGTAAGATTGAGGAGACCTGGGCTTTGGTCTCTGTTCTTCTATCTTCACACTATGTGCACTGATCAGGGCCTTTAATATTCCTGTTACTTTATTGTAAGAATACAGTATACAATACATACAACACACAGAATACGTACTGACTACTGATGTTACTGGGAAGGCTTCCGGTCAACAGGAGGCTATTGGTGGTGAAGTGCTCGGGGAGTCACAAGTTATATGCAGAGTTCTGATGCATGGGAGGGTCCCTAATCTCTCTATCGTTCAAGGATCACTTGTAGTTCCTTATGGCTAACAATTCAGGGAATGAGTAAGGAAATAAATGCCTGGATGAGTAGAAAATATTCTGGAGGAATATTCTATTCTCTGATGGAAGCGTCTTGTGAGTTTCAGAGGTCCCAAGTAACATAGGAGGGAAAAAAAGTAATGCGTGCCCTACGTTCAAAAACAAAATAAAAAATAAAAAATCTCCATTCCTTATTCTTCAGTCACTGAGATTTAAACTTTCATTAAGATAATCAAATATTCTATTAGCTGCAAAAAAAAAAAAAAAAATCCCCAGGATGCTCCACACTTCTGGGTGCATACCCCAAAAACTGAAAGCAGGGACTCCAACAGGTACGTGTCCAACCACGTTCATAGCGGCATTATTCACAGTGGCCAAAAGACGGCAGCAACCCAAGTGTCCACGGACAGGATAATCTAAACGTGGCACGTCCATATAATGGGATTATTATTCAGCCTTACAAAAGGAGGGCAATTCTGACACCTGCTACAACACGGATGAACTTAAGGGCATTGTGCTGAGTGAAATAAGCCAGCCAGTCACAAAAGGACAAACACCGTATGACTCCACTTCCATGAGGTCCCCAGAGTAGTCAAACCCATAGAGACAGAGAGTAGAACAGGGGAGAAGGGAATGGTGACCTAGCGTGTAGCAGGTGGTTTCAGTTCTACAGGTGGTCAAGAGTTCTGCAGATGGACGGCAGTGATGGTTGTGTCATGATGTGAATGTACCTAATGCCATCGAACTGTTCACTTAGAAGTGGTTCAGGTGGCGATTTCATGTGTACTGAAAAGAAAACCCCTAGGACGCTGAGCCTGCGTGCATCCTCCCTATGACACATCACGAATGACAGTAACCAAGCGTGGGATGAAGCAAAGGTGGACACAACCATCAAGGAAAGTCAGTCTCATGTCTTACCAATGCCACCATTTCTGTCCTCATTTCCAGCAGCTTCCTTTCATTCAACGAATACTGAAACAAACATGTAATCCAGGTCAGATTCTGATTTATTCCTTTCTCCCTTTCCTCCTTCTGCATTCTCCGTACTTCCAAGAACACAGAACACTAGAGATCACCTCTGCTGCTAGCCCCTCTCCTGTAGATGCGTTTGCTCAACTTTCTGATTTCTAGCCACTCACTGCTCCAGTATCTGGATTCCTTTCATCACCCTGTCACCCCCTACCTCTCTCCCCTGCTCCTGTGCTCGCTTCTCTGTGATGTCATTAGGCCCCTCCCACTAGGGGACCAATCTGCATGGCTGCTGAGTCAGATGCCTCTTGGTTGTGAGAGGGTTGAAAAAAAGTGGGGAAGGATGTAGTTTGGGAGCTATCCCTTCACAATTACAAAATTGGTCACTAGCTGAGGCTTAGACAAAGATAGGAGTTTTATAAAGTTGGGGGAAAAGTAGTTTCAAAGAATATTATTCTGTGATGCACATGTTGCCTAAAGATACAATTTAAGTACATCGATACAAGAAATGCACAAACCATCACATGTTGGTTTTAATTACACAACAACAACCCACTTGGGTGTTGTCACAATCCAGTGTTAATAAAGGAACAGACTAGCACTACCCAGAATCAAAATGGTATCTTGCCTTTGGCTATTAATGCTTATGCAAAGATTTAGTGCAATTGTGTTGTCATTGAGACCAAATTCAGACATACCACCTTAGCAATGGGCATTAGGATTTAACTGAATTAATGAAAACCTATAATTTAAGTGAAAAATTAGCTTTTAATTTGTCACTAAATTAACATTGTTATAGGAGAGAAAATCAATGCTCTAGTATCTAGAAACGTTCTAGCTATAAAATGCTCCCCGGGCAATACCAGGGGGATAGAGTATAAAAACAGTGATGCCCAGAAATGAAAAAAAAAAAAAAAAAAAAAAAGAAAAGGAAAGAAAAAGAAGACAAAAAAAAAACAAAAAAAAAAAACCAACAAAACCCAAAACCCCAAATCAAGGAATAGCCTAGGACCAAAGACTGCTCATCGCCTTTGTATGTCAAGGTTTCAGAAAAGGAAAGAGCTATGCATCAAATCACCACAAGAGGGCAGGGTGGACTGGATCTTTCTGTAAACCTTGGGCTCCAGTCTTCCCTAAGTCAGTCTTGACTAAACAGAAAAGAAAAGCCTAAATCTTGACATGGCCATGGATTTTAGAATAACTTCTATGGGATTCCAACTTCCTGCACCCCAAAGCAGCTTATAGGCTGTACTGCTTTTGAAACTGGCTGGAAGTGCCACCAGTTATATCTTTGAATCAGCATTATAACTTTAATTTTATTACTATTATTTTTTAAGTAGGCTCCACGCCCAATGTGGGGCTTAAACTCATGACCTTGAGATTAAGGGTCGCATGCTCTACTGAGTCATTCAGGCGGCCCAGAATGATAACTTTATTAAATGAGGAAAGGGAGGGTCAAATAACTCATCTTCCCCAATGCACACTGAATCCACGCCAGCTGCGAAACAGTATATACGGTTGTCCTGCATTTCAGAGTCTTCTAAGTTGAGGATTACTGAGAACCATTTCTCAGCTGGGCTAATAAATCACATAAATTCACTGGCTTTAGCCCATGTTTATCAATCCCATACCTTCCCATCTCCTAGATGTATTTCTTCCCCACCTGGTTAGCTACGGGCTAAATCAAGTGCATTCAGATTTTCTGCTAGGTACATAACCCACAGGGACAAATGTAATTAAAAGAGTTTCTCTTCTTCTAGAGACTAATTGTATGCTAATGATTGTCAACTATTTTAGCGGGAGGAGGTGATTTAATCTTCATGGTTGAGACGTGTTTTTTAAGACAAGAAAGACAGGTGACATGGGCCTCATAATTATTTTGGACAACAAGGCTCAGCTCAACTCTTGAAATCCAGACACAGTTCTAAAATAAAGTCAAGTACCTATTTGCATTTGAGTACTGGCTTCATTTATCATTGCAGCACATTTTGGTTACAGACTGTGAAAAACACGAAGTCAATGGACAAATGTGCATACTCAGTTTCTACAGGTGTATCCGGTTCCGTTTGTGAAAAATGCTTTGCACCCCCTATTTCTCATTATCCTAAGAATAAAGACGCTATCTAACTACTGCTATCAAATTGAAATAAAGCCTGAAGAAGATGGATGGTTTAAAAATCGCCAGAGGTAGGGGCGCCTGGGTGGCGCAGTCGGTTAAGCGTCCGACTTCAGCCAGGTCACGATCTCGTGGTCCGTGAGTTCGAGCCCCGCGTCAGGCTCTGGGCGGATGGCTCAGAGCCTGGAGCCTGCTTCCGATTCTGTGTCTCCCTCTCTCTCTGCCCCTCCCCCGTTCATGCTCTGTCTCTCTCTGTCTCAAAAATAAATAAACGTTAAAAAAAAAAAAAATAAAAATCGCCAGAGGCAACTCAACATGTATCTTTATTAGAACATATTCACTGAAGCATTATGTACAATCACTGAGACGTGGAAGAGGTAAGTGTCTGCTGATGGGTGAATGAAGAAAATGTGGTGTGTATGGGGCACCTGGGTGGCTCAGTTGGTTGAACATCTGACTTTGGCTCAGGTCATAATCTCACAGTTCGCGGGTTCAAGCCCCACGTCAGGCTCTGTGTTGACAGCTTGGAGCCTGGAGCCTGCTTCAGATTCTGTCTTCCTCTTTTTCTCTCTGCTTCTCCCCCACTTGTGCAATCTCTCTCTCTCAAAAATAAACGTCAAAAAAAAAAAAAGAAAAAAGAAAAAAAGAAAACGTGGTGTGTGTGTGTATATGTATATATGGGT